TGTGAAGATTCAATAATCTCTAAATCTATCACCTAGGCGTCTCCCATTTACGCTGATGTATACCTTCTTAAAGGTACGGCATTTGATAACTAATCCACGTGATCGCTGACACAGGTTTATTCAGATTGGACCGTAATGCACCCTCCGAGAATCACATTAAAGGTAGACCTGTTTAGTTTAATTAGAAGTCAGCGTGAGCGCAGTAACGTTACGTCTTTGCTTTGTTTTTACGTTTGTTTTTTGTTGTTGAGTTACGCGCGCATTCTTCAGTTGCTTTAACCACTGAAGAAGAGAGAGTATCCTCGAAACGTGTGAGGTTTTGTCGCACTTTTCAGCGCAAATTTTAACCACACTTTGACTTCACACGATGAATTACTGCGTTGTACAGTTTCTTGTGAATTAGGTTGAAAGACAAATATCTACGGCCAGTATTTTAAGGAATACACAATCAAAGTGGCAACTAAGAGTCTGGTAAGAACCAGACACAAATGCTAAAGCCCCTGGCAAACGGACGCAACATTCTTGAATGCTACATGTTGCGTCCATTTGCACTGCCTGTTGCATGCTTTCGTGTGTTTTTGGGAGTTGTTGCGCAGTTTGGACTGAACCGGTTAAGCTTTAGAGCCAACAACTCCCAACATTTCTTTTGTTCAGTGATCGCCGAAGCGTGGCGCAACAATAATGTTGGCGGAAAATTGATCGAAATTTGTAAGGACTGCCAGTCACTCAATCAATCAATCAACACCTTTATTTAAATGTCAAACTAAGGGCCGGTTTACATGGAGTGGGGGACCCCGGTCTAGTGGGGTTGGTTTCTTTTGTTTTCACGCTCTGGGGGACACAAAACAAAAGAAACCTACCCCACTAGACCGGGGTCCCCCACTCCATGTAAACAGGCCCTAACATAGCAGTAGAGGAACCACTAAATGGGGACACTATAAATCAAAATAAGCAACTATTGTAGCAATTAAAATCGAATTTATAAAACTAATTACAAGTGTATCATTACTGACTAGAGACCGAGTGCCACTAAAAAAAATGTGAACCTCGAGATAATCGAACGACTCAGAAATTGCCTGAGGACTGTTATTCAGTCCGCAGTCATTACCTTCAGCGGTTTTCCCGAGCATTGGATAATATTTTACCGGGTTTAGTAGGGTAAGATGATCGAATGACGGTTTGCTCGATTTTACAGTATAAAAACAAAGGCGATGCGCGGTATCAACCGTAAAAGAATTTAACTACAATCAACAATCAAAGTCACAAATAACTCCTCTTCGCCCTGTGATTTAATTCCCATTTGTAGTTTACAAATAAGAGTGTGGGTTCTCTTCATGTGAACTTTCATAGTTTATCGAAACTTGCTAATGCTAACATTCAAAGAAATTTAGGAGAAGCATATTAAGTGAGCATAACAATCGATCACCCACAAATTTAATGATGCAGATAGAAACAAAAGCAAAAACTTTAGGCCACGTTGAGAACAACTGTAAGCTCTAGGATGCTAACTAACCAAACCTAGTACTAGTAAGGAAAATGCCGCAGTACTCCATTTCTCCCAAGCTGGTCTTTGAAGCTCCTAGTGAAGCTTTGCGTTCTACATCTTAAGACCAACGAAGCCGACGGCCACTACCTCAACATGTTCCAGGCTTTTTTCCTGACATTTCCTGTGTAGGTAAATGGAAGATTCTATTGATAAGGTAAATAAAACTCGAAAAACGTTGAACAAGAATGTGCAGTGTATATTGAGCTGATTCAATGAAGGTTACTTTAGGCATTGGGAAACTATTGTTTGGTGGTCAGTTAAGTAAATCACTTTGCATTGCTCCATACGCCCGACTGCCCAATGACACATGCCCAATGATTAACGACCATCCAAAACAACCTTTTTTGATTTAGCTGTCACGGGGGAATAAAACAAGGCTTCTGTCATATCAAAAGCTATTTTTAAAAACAATCACAGTGGCCAGTGTGAAAATTTGAGATGCAAAACAGCAAGTATGCATTGGAGACAATAGTAAATCCAAGTAAACACTTTTAGCAAAAGAAAGTTTCTAACTTTGAGAGTATCTTATCTTTCTCCTCAGCTATCGCCGGTGTAGGTCGGTGTTGCTGAGTTTGAATTTTTTCAAGAGTAAGATTTATATCATTCTCAAGCCACTTGTATTTCAAGCAAGACAACCTAATTAAATACCCATATTTTGTTAAATACTATTTAGAACAGTTTGCTGCCATTAGCGATCCTGAAAATTGAACTACAACGAAAAAAACACGTGAAACGTGATTTCAAATAACACATGACACTGCTAGTTTTTCAAGCCTTTTCTAGATATAGAGGTGGGAGAAAGAGTAAATTTGGTACCTGAAAATATAGGTGTTTACAAGTCGCAAGAAAAACATGAAGATGATGAAAACTGCTTTAAAGACGAGATGAAGTTTAAGAGAAATATAAATAGTGTTACATGTGAAGCAAAACTTATCGAGACTTTTCTTAGCATAGTGCCATATATAGTGGCAACAAGTCCTTAAAACCTTGTACCTTTCGCTTTTCGCAGTAGACTGACACGTAGTTGATGATTTGTTTTTTGTCTCAAAATCATAATACATCATCAAGGCAAAAATTCCTTCCTCAAGATCTTCAAGAAAAAAGAACACAAATAAACAATTTAATTAGTATTCATTTCAGTTGATATAAAAAAGGCAAAATATTACAGTGTGACGACTTCAACCGGGGCCTTGGGGGCCACCTAAGGACTTTCAGCCAATCAAAAACCGCTCCTTAAACAAAGAATCAGAAGTGCGGACCTAATCGGGAACTGTCCTATTCTTCGATTGGTTAGTTTTGATCCTGAACTTTTCGCAGTTTAGAACGGTGTGTTGTATACAATTAGGGACTGATCAACAAGTACAGGGGTGGATCGCTGTTTTCATGCATGCAAAAAGGGGTGGGCTTAGGAAAAGCTGGCATCATTAAGGGGGTGGCGCATTTGATTTTTGTACTCGTTGTGCATCAAAATGTGTCTTTAAAAAATATGGAAGTTAAACTGGGAAATTATTTATAACAGTAAATCGTAATTGTCTAGTTTAGGAAAATATGCATCAGGGACATCCAACTTAAGACGTGATCACGAGAAAAAAGAAAACAAGATTCTTGGTTTCTGATTGGTTCACGCTAGGAGTAACCCATTCTAAACGGCGAAAAATTTAGGATCGAAACGAACCAATCGAAAAATAGAATAGTTCCAGTTGAGGTTCGCACGCCCAATTCTTTGTTAAAGGAACGGTTTTTGATTGGCTGAAAGTCCTTAGGTGGCCCCTGTTGAAGTCGTCAAAGTATGATGAAAAGGGGAAGCAGAAAAAAAATCCCAAGATACTGACTTAATAGGACAAAATTTGCAACAATTATAGCGAATTGGAGGCCTTCTTTTATTGCCCTACAAGTTTTCAATAACTTTGAGAGTTCAAGGCCATAAACATGATCTGGGTAAAAGAAATTAACACTCTTGATAATGTCAAGTTTCAAAAAGAAATCTGTCAAGAAAGTATTTTCAAAAATTAGTATCAAATTAGTGTGGGAGTATTCGTGATAGCATTTTTTTCCAAAACGCCAATAAGAGCACCATGGCACATTCAAAGAAAACATTGTGTCATTGAAGTGTTCAATGTATAATTTTAGGTGACAGTCTCTCGCCAGCTACATCCAAAGAAGTAACTGGCAACAGGAAAAATTGTTTAATAAATGTTAAACTCATCGCCTTAAAGGTGGAAGAGCCTGAAATGCAAAAAACAGCATTGGCTTAGAGGTAAGCATGGCAACCATCCGAGCACCAACCAGCCGGTAACATCACACTAAAAACATTCAGTAGCTTGTCAATAGGCCTTTGGTTGAGCCTACCCCTTTCCCTTCCCTTTCCTCGCTATTTTTTTCCCCAAACAGAGACCCTGTTCACAGGCTAAACATTCAGTGGATTTCTTATCACTGCTCGTACTTATTTATCCGAGGAAGGGGAAAGTGGAAGCAGAGACCAACAGATCTCTTGAGCCGTGAATTCACAATGTATGCAAAGATCAGCAAAGCAAAGCAAGCAAAGCTGAGTTACGTAATAACATGCAAGTCCCTGCAGACCCCAGCGCAGCCACCCCACACATGCCTGCCTGCCTGGGGCTCTACCAGTTTTGTTAAGACTATATTTAGGCTTTAATACTGTTTCCTGTTGTCTGTTGGAACAGATGGCAAGGATGAAAATGGATTGAAGTGGTGCCTATTTTTTGAAATTTTTAAGGAGGTCAATTGAGTTTTTCAACTGCCTTTCTACCAATTTTTAACTTCGACATGACTTTCAAAAAGGAGACGAGCTATATTCGAACATGCTCTCATAGAAATCAACCAAACCTGAGCAAACTTCTCCTTTAATGTATATACTTTTCATGCTTCATACTTTTAAGAGATTGTTTTAAAAGTTCGTTTCCCCCAACAAAAACCAAATAACAAAAGTTTTCCATGGCAGCGTCTGGTTGCTAGGGATGTTCCGATCTTCATGAACCTAACTGCATATCAAACGTCAATCTATCGCTAGCTTGCATGTAACACTGATATTTGGAAGAAATCATGTGTAAGTGTATTTCTTCAAGGTTGAAAATTTCTAGTGAGACAGCCGAGGAAAAAAACTCATCGAGTCACTTAATACTATGCAAGAGAAAATGCATTTTCTCTTGTGCTATACCTTCAAAAATCACTATCTAATCATCTGTTGTTATTATCATTTGGTTAGTGCTTAAAACATCCGTTAAATGTCTTCTCCATAAACCAACTTTTCAAGGCAACAACTTTACGTAACTATGTTAATAAGTTCAGTTTGAGATTATAGCTTCTTGATTTTTCCCGTACGCGACCACTTTTTCGTGCACCCAAGGGTGGTTGCTTACGAGACAGTTGACTTTCCAATGCCCTAGCACAGAATTGACCTCTAAAACAGCAATATCCGCGCGGCAAAGCCCCTTTAAAAGTGGGTATTACTAAAACAAACCGCTGAAAGATCTTTCATTGTGGGAGGAGAACATGTCCCTGCTTGCAATTGTTTACCTGACACTCTTTCGTCCTCATCCGAAGAGCCGCTTTCTTTTTTAGGCTTTTTGAACGACCGCCGTTCCCTCTCTTTATCCAGTTCTTCTACCCATTTATGAAATGTCTGTTCCGCAGCTGATTTTACGCGACGATCATCATAAGGCCCAAGCTCAAGACATCGTGTTTCGTCATCCAACCAATCCCAGTGGCTTGCAGCCTTTAGTTCCGCCTGGAAATTAAAGTCTTCGGGGGTTTCTGGATCGTTGTCATCCAAGTAGACATTTATGGCGTACACTAGCATACTAAAGCTTATAAGTGACACTCCTCCTTGACATTCAAAGGCACTTGTTTCAACCCACTCTAAAGATCTTAATTCTGAGATGAGTTTTCTTGTTTCTTCTCCTTTAGAGGATGTGGATTTCTTGGCGCTCTGCGATTATAAAGCACAGAGGGTAATTTGTATACTGTATACCGAAGTTTCATACGCGTAGAGGGTTCCAATCAAGAGAGAATAAAGGTCCTTCGTCCTCTTTTGGTTCCAATCCTAGTATTTTCCGGATTTTAAGTCAAAATAACTGGTCATGGTGTTCTTCTACTGCAGGAAGGAAGAATTATCATTTAATGCTATGAAGAAAACGAAGCAGGTTCTTTGTTATATTTTATCAGAACAGCGCCAACGAACTAAATGTTTACGTCCACTAGAAGCTAAAACTAATGCAACCTCCAGGAAAGCAAAAAGCAATGCTGACTTTTAATATGGCCTGCTTCAATTTGTAAGAACAACTGAAAACTTCAACCAAACATTTTAGATGTATTTGTATTCAAGGAGTATTTTTTTAGACTACAGTAATAAAAGCTAAAAACAGCAATGACTTTTTCGATCAACCGTGGAAACGCAGAAAAAAAAACATTTTCTGTAACTTTTGTCTGCATCATATAATATAGCCCATACCAGTCGATTCCTTGTAAAAACAAGTTAGGAAGTTAGGAAGTTAAGGCCACTGGCAAAAAAAACCGCATGACTGACTGACTGACTCTCCATACTGAGCCGTTTCTACGTCATGGATACTTTGCATCTACCTATAGTTAACGCAGTTAATTTTCGACTACCTTTTTTAATTGAACCACGCAAACTCCCCGAAACTTCGGATGATCTTCGACCATTAAGTTATCTGAGTTAGTAATGTCAGCTTCCCATAAACAAACATCTGGATTTGTTCCTTTGGTTTGTCGTCTTTTTCGATATTCGTCTTGGTGAAGCGGATAGTACAATTTCCGATTCGTCACTAGCCATACTGGAAACAAGATAGAATTATTAATACCTCCTTCGAGTCATCCTTCGGAGTGCCCGTCACTGTACGTGATAGGGGTTTCAAGTTACAGAGTGGCAAAGGGGGTCTCCGTGACGCATGATGGGACCCAAATTATCAGCGTGATGCGTGATCGGGCCCAAATTATCCGCGTGAGAAGTGATTGAGCATAGTAGTGTGATGCGTGATTTAAAATTTTCACAACGCGTGACGCGTGATTTTCCTTTGAAATTTCCGTTATGGTTAATATCATTTGAAACTAGAAGCAGAGACATAAAAATAGATAGTTGAGACACCAACTTCTTGCCCTTTTTTCTCGTTTCTCGACCTCTGATTTCTTCAGATCAAATGATTTTATTTTACTTTTCCGTGATACGTGATAAAATCGGCATGGTGCGCGATAGGTAGCCCCCTTTGCCACCCTGAAGGATGAGGGGAGATTAAGTCGAAAGTGAAATTATCGGGTTAAGGGAAGACGTTAATTGTAGAGGTGTACCGTCAAGGCCTTCATACCCTGACCCTGTTTAAGAATAAGATTCGGCTCATTTCGCTATCCTGCTTAAGACAACTGGCTTTATTTTATGACCCAATTCGTTTAGTTTTGCATAGAGAATTTGGAAATTTTTTTAACTAACATCATAGAATTAGATTTTTTGGAAAAAATGCTGTTTCCACAAATGCAAACCACTCATCTTGGTGTTCCATAACGTGCGTTATGCATTGTGTGCATGTAGAACGCACACGACTGCGTGAACAATAGAACTTCGTGCCAAGAAAGAAAGATTACATTAGAAGTTTAGAAGGGCTTTGAATTCGTAGACAGCAGAACTACAGTAACGTATGCTGTAATGTGTTATCACGATTGTTCTTTTTTGAACATTTCCTTATCCACAGATTTCCTCGCCGTGATAAAAACAACGACGAGGGCCAACCAAAACCCCTTACGTATACCTGGGAAATAAAGAAGGAGCGTGGATGTGGACGGATGATGTTACTGAGAGTTGCAAATCTAACATAAAGACGCAAAGAAAAGAGTGGAAAGGGCACCAGGTTCGACCCGTCCATATATGTTTTGTCACTAAAGACTAATCATAAAAACTGAGAGAAAAAGACAGGATTGTTATTTTTGGCAAATGACTTACGGGAAATAAACTCGAAGGGACCATGAACGGGCGGAAAATTTAAGTTTAAACTCTAATTCAGCGTGTAGGTGTGGATGAAGTTCATAGATATAACGACAAAACTTCATAAAAGTAGGTAGCCTTTTACAAAACACTTACTTACCCTTGACTGTGTTTACGTCGTCGTCAAATGTTGGACCCTTATCTGTGTTTACGTCGTCGTCAAATGATGGACGCGTTTTTGATCCAGCCCGATACACAACAATCCTCTCATTTCTATCAGATGACACCGCGTAGCTGTAACTCATGGCTTTAAGAAAACAAGTTTTTCGCAATTAGTAATATATAGATTTGGCTCAAGCGAAGCTCTCGTTGATAAATTACTTATAATTTACTCAAACATTAAAAAGGTCGTGTAATCCTAATCAACGACAGCAACGATAACAGTAAAAAAATTAAGAGGTTTAATTAGCAAACAAACATTTTTTTACGCGCAGCACACTTTTTGTATAGTACAATTAATTATTCTTTGCGCTTCTTTTTGCACAACCTGACACTTTAATTTCTAGTTACACGTTTTATGGAGGAAATGTCGTATGTGCTCACAAAAACATTTATTGCTTGGGCCCATGTTCCCCTTTTTGTTTACTGCCGTTCATTTTCAAATTACTTGCCGCATTTTCTACCCGCCGACATAAAACTTTGAGGTTGTTTTTCAACGAAATTCGTCTTCTTTGTTGTTTATCTCTCGCTCTATTTCGCTAAATGTATGAATGAATGTCGTTGATAAGAGGACAACAAGACGCCCTCTCTTTACATGTTAACAGTAACCTCAGACTTAGCATACAAGGCGCCACTGAAAGCAGCTATCAGTCTATTTATGAGTTACTGTAACTCACATGAGGAGCCGGAGAGCACTAATCGCATTAGCCCTGTGATTGACTGTTGTTATGCAAGAAGTCAAGTTTAGTCTCCTTTTTTGCAGTGTGGGTTTTTGTCGAGGGCTCATAAATTTCAGCAACTTATTTATTATCATTTATTTTTTATATTACTTATTACTTATTTTTTAAATAAATTTTTTTTGTATCTTTTTTTCGCAAGATTTCCGCCTTTCTCGATTTGACCGAAATGTCGGCGAACGTTTCTCTTCGCCTTTCGCGCGTTTCCTATCTTTAGCGTACCCAAAATATGTTTGCTAAAACGAGGTTTCGTAATATCGCGATACTTATTCATAGATTTTCTACCTACTGGGGCAAAGAATATTATACGGCATACTTATAATGCCGAGGACCTCGTCATACAGAGGTTCGTAAAATCGAGGTGCTACTGTATCACTTGTGCCTGCACTCTGGGGCCGTATTTTTTTAATTTTTTCAATCAAAACGTAATGCAAATAAAACAGGGCAAAAACAATTATTAGTGTTACGAAAACAGTGAGGTGCAAGTTGTAAGTGCTTTGACTCAAACTTCACGAGTGGTCCTTTTTGTTGTATTCTGCATTCACCGGTGTGAATTGATACCTTCTTCTTATAACTTATACATTTTAGCATTTACATTTTACAGAGATGAATAAAGTTGTTAATTTCTTCAACAGTTTAGTGTAAAATTAATTGCAAATTAATTAAAGGTTGCCTTGACGCGGGTCCTTCCTTTTGCTCGTGACGAAATCATGAATAAAGATAAACTTCCACCATGCAAAAAGATAACTACCCAAGTGATTACCCACGTGGAATAGTGGTCACGCAGCATTGAACCATGAAAAATGGTAAGCGGAATCCCATTTATAGTAAGCACGGCGCATTGCATAATGAGTTTTGCTGCTGAAAATAGCGTCGGAATTCAACAGCGATCGATCAGGGATGTTATTGGAAGGTTTTTTTACGAGAAAAGGTTTAAGTTTTTACCCAAAACAAGTCGTAGAATCAGTAACACAGACAACACAAGGCAACAATTATATTTATTTTAGAAGGTAAATGTATATAAATAAATTTCAATTTGTTTTGCCCCGTGAATATTCATTACGCAGCAACCATCACCCGTGACACCGACTGAGCTCAGCCGTAACACGTGTTACGCGTTACGGCCCCTAATGACAGCCCTGAATACACTACCCTAGAGGGTTTCAAATTAGGCATGTTTTAACATTACGCAAATTTGTGATGTGTTGTCACGCAAAAAAATGATCTCTAGCGCGCGATGAGATGCTACTGGCAACTTACTTTTGAGCGGTACTGTAAAAGACATTCACCTACATATGAAAGCGGTTTTGCCCACACTTCCTAGCCAACGGCTACTGTTTTCTTAGAAGTTAAGGGAGCACACATCAGAAGCTATTTTTTTGGACACACAATACTGATCCTGATCAAAATCGTTGCCAAGTAGAGGGGGACCGAAACCTAAAATATTTAGTGAAAAATCAATATGTTCTGTGCACATAATTCTCATATTCTCATACCATAGTGAATAATTCTGTTATAAATGATACGTCTTGCATGAAACAGGTATTGATTTCAAAATAATTTTCTTATATTTTCGTCTACTAAGCCTTTTTCTCATTTTTCAGATGAGCATCCTTACAGGAACCTGGATGGTTCCCTGTCCCTTTTGACCTCTTTGACCCTTGATCGTTTACCAAGTTCTCTTAGGAATCACATGAACATACACCACATTTTTATCATGATAAGCTTACTTCCATCTTCACTTTGATTCGACACACCTTTCACAGTCTCTTGTTCAATAAATGGTGAAGTCGTTTGACAAGCATGTGCTCCTTGTAATATGGCTACTTCCCGGCTATATGTATCAATAGCCGGTTCAATTAACAGATTTTTGGGATCCAATGCAATCGAACGAATACCAACTAGCTCCAGAAAAAAATTATGTGCTCCTTCTTCTTTTGATATATCACTACAAAAATCTTCATTTATACTGTAAACGGGTTTACATCAAACGTATCGAGGCTGTGACATTTAGAAGTACTAAATCTTTAAGTGTTGATAAGTTCATTGACGATCTAGCCTGTGCTCCATGGAATACCATGGATACCTTTGACACACTGGATGATAAATAAGATTTTTGGAAAACTCTATCTGACACCATTGTTGAAAAGCTTAATTGCCCACTAAAACAATGAGATTTAGGAAATCGGACGTCCCATAGATGACATCTGGTTGGAAAAATGCAATTAAACTTAACCCTTTAAGCCCCAATATGCACATACAAATTCTCCAAACTGATCTCTTTACATTTCCTCTAAGAATTAGTTAAGAAAATTTGATAAAAGATCAAAGTATTTTCTTTTAGGTGACCATTTTATTTATTCTCATAACCTCATCTCTTGACAATGTGTGGATATCGTTAGGAGAAAATTGCTGTTGGTCACTCTTGGGACTTAAAGGGTTAAAATATGCCAAGCAATATGCAAACAACAGAACAAATGAAAATTGGGAATTAAAGAAAAGGTGGCGGAACATTGCTACAAAATACAGACGACAATTTATCCAGGAATACTGGCAAAGGAAAACAGAAGATCTTAAAGCCTATCCTTGAGAATTTTACAAAACCTTCAGACCTTTCCTTAGTGAACAAGAAGCAGACTACAGGTACCTGCATGGTTACCTGCATACGCGAAACGATAGGTTTTGAAATTAAGGAAAACGTAACCCCCCAGGGCCTCGAGAGTAGAGTACTGAGGTCTGCGAATGTTAAATATCGCCATATTTTACCTTTTGTTTAATAAAATGAATAAAGAAGACCTACCTTTGATGTACTACTGTGTTTTTTGGTGAGGATTCATCGATTCAGTCGACTTTTTGGCTTTACAAGTTCCGTAACCCTCGAAACTCCGTCTTACCGTATTTATTCGATTAAGCGCCCAACTCGAATAACCGCCCACCCTATAGGCTTAGAATGTAACAAAATTTACCTTACTGAGAACAACTGACAATGAGATTGAAACAGACTAAGTTCTACACTTTCTGATGGACAGTTAAAATTCTACTTTGGAACATATTCACGTTTTGTTGCAAAGTAAAACTACTATAAGTGAACACCGCTTTCCCTCGACCCACTGTCAAGGTCCAAAACTTAAAGCAGGCTCAGGGCGCTTAATCGAATAAATACGGCATTAGCCTGGGTTGCAGGCGCCGGTCTTGTTTCTTTTCTTCGCTGCCACGCAGGCCAAATACGCGTGTTGCAAGGGAAATTTGAATCTGAACCGTCCAAAAATTGTTAGTTCAAATATTATATAGCGAAAATTCTGAAGATAACGGAAACATCGAGCCATTTCTCATTGTCTTTGCTTAGTAAAATCTTTCAGTTTAGTTATTTCGACTGCCCGTCACAGTGTAAGAAACTATGACTGGAACACAACATCTAAGCCATCATCGTTTCATTCTCCTCTGTGGCACGCCATTTATATCATAGCCGAATTTTCGAATACGTGCCTCAAAAAGGCCCAGAATATTCGCACAGGAACAGGAAAAGGGATTTAAAATATGCAACTTTTAAAGAGTTTCGAATGACTTACATACTAACACTGAAGGAAAATTCTTTCAACAACCGCTTTAGCACGCATAGAGTTAGTTTAGGGATGGTTTACAAATCAACATTCTTGTTGCATCTTGACAGAAGATGGAACTACTCGATAAGGTATGCGGGAAAACAACAAAAATGACGTCAAATTGACAATCTTGTCTCAGGGGCGCCAACCTCGTTCCCAGGTTCTCTCAGACGGGTAGGAGAGAACCCGAGGTTGCGGGGGCGCCTGGCTTTACTCTCAAATATTGACCAAAAAAGCGACGGGCTCTGGGAACGAGAATGCTAAGGAGAGCTTGTGCCCATGCGCAGTAACGAAACCGGCGCCACGATGACAGCCTGCCGGCTCCATTTTCGTAAGTGTGCGACCTCTAAAATGAGACGCTCTACAGACGTTTTCATTCTCCGTCTTGGACAAATTAAATTCACTTCATACGCCGCAGAATCCTCGATTTTCGTTACATCGGAAGCTTTGAATTAAATTCGACGATTGCGCTATAAATTAAAAACCGGTCAGGGTACAGCCACCAAAATTAGACGGAATGGTGTATTGATCATTTCTAATAGTTAGGCAAAACATGATTGACACAATTATGACAATTGACGTCATTATGAAGCATTTATTGGCAGAACCCAAATCCCCCTCAAGGTAGCCACCATAAAGCGAAAAATGGTTATTAATAAATAGTTAAGTGTCTGATAAAATCAAGTAGTTAGCTGACACATTATTAGTCTATATAGCAGTGATATCGTGATGACGTCATTAAAGAAGGAACTGGAAGCATTCGCCGTCTTTGATCCACAATTTTAAATTACGTGAATGTATTCCACTTTATAAAAACGTTAAAAATCGAGATAATGGTGATCAAAAATTTGATCTGTGTTTAAAAGGATGCTTAAGTTATGAAACTTTCAGAGCAAAGAACTTTGTTGAGGATCAGTCCTGTGACAATTAGCATTTGTGAAATCTTTCCCGCTAAATTGCATATGTTGTAGTTCAATTTCATGGTGCTTGCTTGAAGATTCATTGTCCCAGTTTGTTTTGGGGTATATTTTTCAAATATCGTACGACTTGACTTATTGCTTTGTGGAAGTTTTCTTTTTGTGGAGTGTCCATAACGCGAAGGTCCAGCCCGGGGTAGAGGGGGGTGCGCCCCCGGTCTAGCCGGTCGAATAAACAACCGTCCTTAACTTTCCACTGTGAAGTGGGCCAATGACTCAGCTAGTTCCCGGCTTGTTTCCTGAAATTTTCTGTGTAGGTAAATGGGTAGATGTTATTGATAAGGTAAATATAACTCTAAAAACGTTAAACAAGCATGTGCAGTGTATATATATATGGCTTAATACAACAAGGCTTCTGTCATATCAAAAACTATTTTTAAAAAAACAACAATCACATTGCTGACAGTACTAAGGCCAGTGCGAGGATTTGAGTAGCCCAACAGCGAGTATGCATTAAAAACAATAGTAAATCCAAGTCGGGACTTAGCAAAATACAGTTTCTGAGATTTGATTGGATCTTATCTTTCTCCTCAGGTACCGTCGGTGTAGGTCGGTGTTGCTGAGTTTGAATTTTTACCTGGGCGTCAAGATTTATACCATTATTCTTACCTAAAACCGTGAGGAATTTAGTTGACTTTGATAATTACTTCTGGGCTAAGTATGGGCGGACAAAATAATTGTTTCATTGTCTCATAGGCAGCTTAGGGACCAGTCATAAATTAGAGGGGAGTCAGAAGACGCAAATATGGAGAGGGCCTTAAATTTCATGTCAACGCAGAAAAGAGGGTTTCATGCAAAGTTATGGGGTTAGGGAGTATAAATGAAGTCGATCTTCTCAGGCTTAGAATGGTGTCAACTTTCTGTAAATAATGCTAAACACTTATTGAATCTGATGAAGGTAGGGGAGAAAAAACGTTTTAACAGTCCATGATGTAACTTGTGGGTCCTTCTTTTCACATATACCCAAGACCTCTCCTGAGTTGCGTATAAACAACAACAACAAACATAACAGGATAAGTACGGCATTGTCAAAAGAGAATAAAAACGTTATGTCTTGTGACCAACTACAATAACTAAACAATTAGTTCCTGCAGTGGTGTAAATATGTGAAACAACTTGACATTAACTTTGTTTTCTAAAGTCGAGTCCTGAACTGGATTTTAAGATACACTCAGTCACTCTCATAGCAAGCTTTTTTACCTTAGTCCCTCTCTTCCAAAAATCTTGTCAGAAGGCCAAGTCGTTTGTCGGAATTTTCCCCTAACAGGGCCTCTCAAATGGCAAGATGCATTTTGTTAAGTTCTTTACACTTTTATTGGAGGGCTTGTCATTTCTGTCCACAAAATTCACTTATAAAAGTGTTTTCTGTATTAGATTTTCTTAATAACGTTTACCGCTATTTAGGTGGTGTTCTTTAAAGTCTTTTATTCCCTCTTTAAATCATTAAACAAGTGTTTGAAGAGTTAGTTCTCCAAAGTCTTAAGGCCTCTTCTTATACAAACCCCTAAGGAGTTTACTCCCGATGGGTGACATGAGGAAAATTCGGCGTATATATGTTGAAAAGTTTCAGTGAGTTTGAAATGCGTGCGCAAATCAAGTGCTGGTGGGAGAAGTCTATTTTTTTCTATCTTTCGTCTTTGTATTTAGTAGTATCTAAGAACTTTGTTTCTGTTTCAGATATTTCATCGCGGGTAAATTCTTCAAGGCTGCAAAGTGGTATTTATTTGCTTCTCCTCAATAAACTTAGAAACATCTCCTCTAACTATAGACATTCCATATTGAAACAATGTCATCTGCACATCATTTACAAATGAACGTGGCCTTGAAGATGTTGGCAAAAGACGCAGACATTTTAGAAACCTCTGAGTTTGCTATGGGTCGTTAGATAGTGTTATTTCCAAAAGGTAAGATTAACCTTACCACTCTCGTTTTATATATTGTGGTGGTGTATTTTGATATAGAAGGATGAGTAAGACTAACATATTGTTTCAATCCCCTCCTCTAGTGGTAAGCCATGTTTATAGGTTCATTACGTCCTGTGAAACACGCCTAGTATGATATCTTATCTAAAGAGGCCTGGGGATTGGGGTGGTGGGGGGAAGGGGCGCAGCATGATAATTTATGGAAACTATTTTGGAGGGTCAACATTTTTTCTGCACCTGAAAAGGGGAGGACCAGCCAAAAACATGCGCATAAAAATAATGCAACAGTCCCCTCCCTCCTCTAATTTATGACCGGTCCGTTAGCAACTTCTTTGCCGAAACAATGGTACGTTGTACTACTCGAAATCGTTAACCAATACAGACTGACACTTTTTGCTCTTCCCGATGTCTTCGTCCAAGATAGAGACGGTAGCAAAGTAACTTAAGTCCGTTAACTTTTTCAAACTATTAATAGCAGTTTAAATGACGTGCAGCTAGTGCCGGCAATAGAGAGCTTGGTAGGCTTTTTGATAAGAAGGTTTTTGGACCTAGAATTGAAATAAAAAGATGATATTCTATTTATAACTCAATACAGATGGACCATGTCGGCCATAATGCTTATTACTGGCTGGGCTCACCTCTTTTGTTCTATGTTACTGCCAATCTTGAGATCAACGTCGTGGCGTATGGCATTTTCTGTAATTTTAGAGAAAGTTGAACCTACACGTCAAACCAAAAATTAAGGCTATGGAAAGTAGAAAAGGGGTTTCCAGGAAGTCAGCACTTGCCTCACCTACTGAGCTTTATTTCGCGGCGTGGCTTGTGATTAATTACTATACCACGTTTACATTGCCTCAATTTATAAAGCCTTTTCTAGGTCGGAGAAGGAGTGCAGTTGGTACCTGAAAATTAATATTTGCAAGTGGCACGAAAAAAACATGAGGATGATGAAAGAGACCAACTTTAAGGACAATATTAATAATGTTACATGTAACTAAAGCTTATCGAGACTTTTCTTAGCATAGTGCCGAATATAGCGGCATCAAGTCCTCACAACGTTTTACCTTTTACAGTAGACTGAGACGTAGTTGCTGATTCGTTTTCCATCTCAAAATCATAATACGTCATCAAGGAAAAAATTCCTTCCTCAAGATCTTCAGGAAAAAAGAAAATGAACAATTTAATTCGTAATCTTTTCAGTTTATTGAAAAAAACTGAAAAAAGGGCAAATATTACAGTGTAACGACTTCAACCGGGGCCACCTAAGGACTTTCAGCCAATCAAAAACTGCTCCTTGAACAAAGAATTGGGCGTGCAGATCATCATCGGGAACTCGATTGGTTATAGTTTCCATCCTAAATTTTTCGCGGTTTAGAACGGTGTATCGTATACACTTAGGGACTGATCCTAAAGTACGTAAAGTTGGGGTCGGCTGAAAAAATGAGGGGGTGGGTCACTGTCTTCATGCATGCATAAAGGGGTGGGCTTAGGAAAAGCTGGCATCATCAAAGGGGTGGGGCATTTATGATATTTGCACTCGCTGTGCATCAAAAGGTGTCTTAAGAAAATATGGAAGCAAAACTGGGAAATTATTTATAAAAGTAAATCGTAATTGTGTAGTTTAAGAAAATATGCATCAGGGACATCCAGCTCTCTCGACTTACGGACTTTCACCTTCAAAAAGGTAACGCACGTTAACAGATAAAAATTTAAATTTGATCACGAGGAAAAAAGAAAACAAGATTCTTGGTCTCTGATTGGCTCACGCTAGGAGTAAGCCATTCTAAAAAACGAAAAATTTAGGATTGAAACTAACCAATCGAAGAATAGGACAGTTCTTGTTGAGGTCCGCACGCCCAATTCTTTGCTAAAGGAGTTGTTTTTGATTGACTGAAAGTCCCTAGGTGGCCCCGGTTGAAGTCGTCACAATGTAATGAAAAGAGGAAGCAGGAAAAAAAATCGCAAGATACTAACTTGCAACAAAAAATAGCGAATTGGAGGCTATTTTATTGCTTACAAGTTTTCAGTATAACCTTGAAAGTATAAATAAACATTGACCTGGGTAAAAAAAATAAACCGAATCTTGACAATGTCAAGTTTTAAAAAGAAATTTATCAAGAAAAAGTATTTTCGAAAATTAGTAACAAATTAGTATAGGAGTAGTAAAAATAGCATAGCCAAAAAGAGCACCGTAGCATATTCAACTAAACATTGTGTCACTGAAAAGTGTCTGATGTTTAGTTTTAGGTGGCAAAGTCTCTGACCAGCTTAACCCAAAGAACGGCAACCAGCAACAGAAAAAATTGTTTACTAAACGTTAAAGTTATCGGCAAGATGACGTTGGAAGCGGGTGCCTTAAAGATGGAAGAGCCTGGAACGCAAAAAGCAGCATTGCCTTGGAAAGAGAAATTTCGTGAGTTTACAAAATTCCCGAAGATGACCGAGGAGAACGTGTCCCCGCTTGTTTACCTGACACCCTTTCGTCCTCATCCGAAGAGCGGCTGTCTTCTCCAGATTTTTTGAACAGCTGTTCCCTCTCTTTATCCAGTTCTTCTACCCATTTATCAAATGTCTGTTTCGCAGCAAATTTTACGCGACAATCATCATGAGGCCCAAGCGCAAGACATCGTTTTTCATCATCCGACCAATGCCAGTGGCTTGCAGCCTTTAGCTCCGCCTGGAAATTAAAGTCTTCTGGGGCTTCTGGATAGTTGTCATTCAAGTAGACATTTATGGCATGCACTAGCATACTAAAGCGTATGAGTGACATCCCTCCTTGGCATCTGAAGGGACTTGTTTTAACCCAGGTTAAAGAGCTCAATTCGTCTTTAATTTTTTGATACTCATTTGAAATGAGTTTTCTTTTTTCTTCTTCTTTATAGCTTGTTGATCTCTTGACGCCCTGTTATTATAAAGCACAGAAGAAAATTTGTATGGGTGTTTTTCTACGACAGGAAGGAAGAATTATCCCTTAATGCTATGAAGAAAACGAGGCAATTTCTTTCTTATTTATCAGAACAGCGCCAACGAACGTGTCTACTAGAAAGTAAAACTAATGCAATCTCCAGGGACGCGAAAAGGAATGTTGGCTTTTATGATTCGCTTCAGTTTTTACCCGGGGTAACCACTCGAACTGTTCGGTAATCGAACTTTATCAAACTCAATCGAAATTAGTCGAACGATTGGGTTCGATTAAGTTCGGTAATCTGATCGAACATAATCGAACCAAAACGTTTGCGTGAGAGTTCGATTAAGTTCGATTTCCGAACTCAATCGAACTGATCAAACTTAATCGAACTTATTCGAAACCAATGACTCAAAATAAACAAGGATTTTGCAGAGTGAGCAAATTAAAAAGAACCAAACAAGAATCAGTTGAATCGAACATTAGATTGACTGGAGCTTTACTAAAACATAATCTATTATCACCACTGTTATCAGCCTAGTAGAGTCAACTTAGAAAAGTCATGTAACAACCGAGCCGGGCATTGCAATGAACTGAAACACTAGCTAATTCAACGGTATAAAGGTTCATTCATTCCACTAGGCTTTCTTGCAACAAAAGGCCGCCATTTTTATTGGAACAATCTGTACCTGGGATGCTGATTAAAGGATGAATTTTAATTGTAAAATAGCAATATAGTCTTGTTCTTCCCTGATGTTGTATATTTTCGCTCCAAAAATACGTAAAAAATACACAACATTGGTCCGCCACAACCACTCCCTACATACTGTATACTCAGTACGTAAGACTGACCCCTATAAAAAAAAGTATCCGGAAAACACGCGCAATCTTCCGTATAACGTCCCATTTTTAATCGAATGTATGCCAACTTTGATCATCGAACCTAATCGAACTCAATCAAAGTTCGATTGGGTTCGATTACTAAAATTTTTTTGTGAGAGTTCGATTGGGTTCGATTACCAAACTTAATCGCACCCAATTGTTCGATTAAGTGCGATTAATAAATAAAGCGTTCGGTTTGGTTCGAGTGGTTACGCCGGGGTTTGTAAGAGCAAAAAACACACGTCGAATTTGTATGAAATAGTAAATTTTAAGACAATTATATGAACTCTCTTGTCAAGAGATTATTACTTCGGTGGAGCGCAACGTTCAGGAATGTATCAAAGTTGACATCTTTGGGACAGGATTGGACACGCAAAGTCTGTAGGTTTTCGGTTTTTTTCGCTATTTGACAAAGTGAGAGCAGAATTAGTTCGAGATATCTCGAGATCACTTTGATTTCTTTGATTTATTCTTTAGCTTGTTCGAGGAAGAAAGAATTATTATTTTGGCTTTCCCGGGGTTTGAACCGACTCACCTGTGTGACCCGTCAGATCAGAGGAGACTCTAAAGTTGAGGGATTAGCCGATACCCAAGGTAGTTCGGAATATGAAAAATAGCTATGAAATTATGCACTAGTTTCGGGACAAGATTAAGCGCGCAAGTTCGTGACTTTTTGGCTTGTTTCGGCTATTTCACGAAATGAGACGGGATTACTTCGTGATATCTTGAGATCACTGCGAGTTTAATCTTTAGTTTACTCGAGGAATAAATAGAGGACATTACATGGCCGCGCAGAGACACGAAATTTCTCTTCGCGTGTTGAAAAACATTTCACGAGTGAGCGCTCCTTTCGAACTGTTTTATGATGAATTTAAAGTTACAAAATGCTGCACAAAGACGTGCTGTCTTTGTTGAGTGTTACGTGGTAAAATTGCTTTCATGCATTGCGTGACTTTCTCGAACGTTCTCTACGTTTTTGGATTATTCATGAATAATTAATTAGGGCATGTTTGCATTTCAGCATGAGTCAGCAGATTTGCATCAGTTACTGAAATCATAAAATATGTAGAAAAAGTAACTACTATTCGCCTGTTTAGTATTTTCTAGAACCTTATGTCAAACGGTATACAAGTTCCAGGTGAGTTCTTTTGATGAACTAAGTTTTTTCCCCACGACCTGGAGTGCTGTGCCAGTCAAGTATGACGAAGGTCGATTTTCAAGTTTTGTGTTTACAAGTTGGCGGAAGCCGTAAGATATCTGTGGTTCAAGTGAGAGTTTGTTATTTTTGACAGGGGCTGGTTAGTTTTACTTAAGTTCAAGTCAAGTTTGTGTTGGCGGATGCTGTGTTTTCTGTAAAGACTACGTTCCTCTGGTATTAAACTTCCTTGAGTTAATCCGACATCACTGCGTGCTGATAGTCAGTGATTAATTATCCTCAAAACATTGGAACTCGTAACAATGAGTTTTAGCCAATTCCATGCTCAACCTAATTGACTCCTTACCCATGCCTTACATATCTTTAATCAGTACATGAGACTGCTATGTTGTTTTTGAAGCCTGATGTAAGAAAAATAGAGAATTATTTTTTCACTTTTTGTTTTGTTAGACTTGTTATTCACCGCCAGTAACCTCATATTTGACTTAGGTCTAAACGTTTGGACCCAAGTCAAATTTAGAAGGATTTGTATGGAGTCATCAGAGCATAACTGGGCTGATATCTTAGAGACAATTTGCGCTGAAAAGCTAGTTTTTGACAAGTAGGCCTCTTGGATGTTGCTCTTTTCAGAATATCCTGACAAATCATATAAATTCACAAATTAACACCTTACTCTTTCCAAATTTCATTTCTTACTATTCCTCCGCATTTACAATTAATCAGTTCCACAACTACGACGCCGAAGTGTACGCTGCATAGCGCCTTGTTATACCTTATACAGGTAGGTATGGATGCAGTTTTTAGATATATTTGTATCCAAGGGAGTATTGTGTTTAAATTTCAGGATCATAACACTGATAAAATCTAAAAATGACAATGACTTTTTCGACCAACCGTGGAAACGCGAAAAAATAAAATCACGTTTTCTGAAACGTTTATCTGCATTATCATAATATACCCCATACCAGTCGTTCCTGGTAAAAACAAGTTAGGAAGTTGAAGCCAGTGGAAAAACACTCCTCGCCTGACTACTACAACCAGCTGCAAAAGTACTTGAGACACTGTACTGTATGTATTTTGGCTTAAATGGCCTGTCCACTCTTGTGCTTTTCATCCCTCCTCCACCCCTTATAAAAAATGCTAGCAATGCAAGACCATGCTCAAAACTTGGAGGAACAACTATGAATGGAAGGTAGGGGGAAGGTCAGTATTATATATCGCAGACCTGTGACTAGCAGCGATTTGAAGGAAGAAGGGTCGTTGTTTTCGTCGGACTGTCCCAACATTTCTGCAACTGGTTGTAGCTCCATAAGCCGCTTCCTACTTTGCATCTAACTGAACTTAACCCAGTTAATTTTCAACTACCTCTTTTAATTGAATCACGCAAACTCCCCGAAACTTCGGATGCTCTTCGACGAGTAAGTTCTCTGAGTTCGTACTGTCCGTTTGCCATAAACAAACATCCCGATTTGTTCGTGTGGTTTGTCGTCGTTTTGGATAGTCTTGGTGAAGTGGATAGTACAAATTCCGATTCTTGACTAGCCATACTGCAAACAAGTTAAAACTATTAATACCCCCTTCCCGCCTTCCTTCGGAGTTTCTTTAGGTAATTAGTGCCCGTCACTGTTCGTGGCAGGAGTTTCAAGGGAAACGGGAGATTAAGTCCCTCGAGAAATTAAAATATCGGGTTAAGGGAAGCCGTTAGTAGAGGTGTGCCGCCGAGACCTTCATATCCTGACCCTGTCTAAGACAAAAATTGGCTATTTCGCTACCCTGTTTAAGACAGGAGACCTTATTTTATGACCCAATTCGTTTAGTTTTGCAAAGAGAGTTAGGAAATTTTTCAAACGAACATCATGGTATTAGATTTTCTGGAAAAAATGCTGTTTCCACAAATGCAGACCACTCATCGCCCGACCTTTACACTCTTTTAAAACCTCTCCGTCCAAAAAGACACACTGTTCAAGAAGCTAAATAGTGAAATTGTATACCCTCTTTAAGACTCAACACCCTGAAACCCTACTCAGCGGTCCATTCCCGGCCCGTTAAGGCCAAATAAGGGAGTGCCCTATGCTGTAATGTGTTTTCACGATCTTTCTTTTTCGAACATTTCCTTATCCACACTATTTCATGCTGTGATAAAAACAACGACAAAAGCCAACAAAACCCCCTTACGTGTACCTGGGAAATAAAGAAGAAGCGTGGATGTGGAAGGACTAATCTAACAAAATGGAAAGATTAGTCCTAAATAGGACTAATCTAATAAATAGCAAATCTAATATAAAGTCGCGATTAAAAGGAATGGAAAGCGCAGCAGGTTGAACCCGCACCATTTATGATTTGTTGTTGTTTTTTATTTTTGGCGAATCACTTTTGGGAAATAAACTTGAAAGGAATATGAATGGGCGGGAAATTTAAGTTTAAAGTCAAATTCAGGGTGTAGGTATGGATGTAGTTCATAGATATAATGACCGAACTTCATTAAAGTAGATCGTCTTTCACAAAATACTTACTTACCTTCATTTGTGTTTACGTCGTTGTCAAATGTTGGACCTTTGTCTGATCCAGCTCGGTAAACAAGCCTCTCATTTCTATCAGATGACATCGCGTAGCTGTAACGCGTAGCCTGCAGCCTTTTGACACTCGTGACTTTAAGAAAACATGTTTTTCGCAGTTAGTAATACATAGACTTAGCCAGGGCTAAAAACGAAGCTCTCGTTAATAAATTACTTATAATTTACTCAAACAAAAAATGAGATCGTGTAATGCGAATCAGCGACGGTAACGAGAACAATAACAAAAATTAGTGGTCTAATTAGCAAACAAATATTTTTGCACGCGCAGCAAACTTTTTGTATAGTACATTTCTTTGCCGTTGTTGTTGCACGACCACAACGCGAAACGTCCTAAATACAGGCTTTATGGAGGAAATGTCGTATATGCTCACAGAAAAATTTGTTGCTTGGGTTCATGTTCCCTATTTTTTTCACTGCCGCTCATTTTCAGCTTGCTTGCCACTAGTATTTCTCATTTTCTACCCGCCGCTATAAAATTTTCATTTTGTTTTCCAACGAAATTCGTCTCCTTTGTTTTCTGTCTCTCGCTCTAGCTCTAGTTCTCTGAATGTGTGAATAAATGTCCTGGACTAGAGGACAACAAGAAGCGCCCTCTTTTCATATTAACATATAAACAGTAAGCTCCGACTTAAACATACAAGGCGCCACTGGCAGCGGCTCAGTCCATTTACGAATTTTCTGTAACCCACCCATATCCACGTCAGTTTAGAAATGAAAATTTTGTCGAGAAAAGACTCGGCTTTGATGTTGTTTTTTCTCTCTAAAAGTCCGGATGGCCATGCGATTTACCGCCAAAACGCATGGGTGCTTGAATGCGAAATTTCGCCTCGACTTCAGTTGGGGTGGATGTGCGTAGGGATGGAAGGACGGTCACGTGACTACCAAATTTTCTTGCATCGACAGGTTACCATTTTCTATAGTATTGGAGGCTCGGCTGCGCGCGAAAGCTCCGCTAAAAACATTTCTGTGTACATATTACAGTAGCCTCAGGGCCAGCGCAGGGGAAGGGGCAGGGGGTGGGGCAGCAGCACCCCCCTTCCCCAGCCCCACTTTTTGAAAAAAAAAATAAGAAATACACATTTTCAAATATAAGGAAAAAAATAGAATAAGAACATTTGTTTGACAGACCTCGCCGAAGGATCCACATTTATGATTGGTCCGTTTCGGTCCTATATGGTGAGCCTCAAAACGACTATCTTTGCAAAACTAGAATAGAATAGAATAGAATAGAATCAGTCTTTATTTAAACACAGTAAAATTCATCTGGAGTATTAAAAAAAAGGAAAAAAATTTTTAAATAAACCTAACTACCCTAAACAATATGCAAATCTGTCTACAACTAACCTAACTAAGAACTGTTTTTCATGAATATGCAGTGTACACAGTACTTTAAAAATCAGAAATTTAGATGTGCCAATCGTTTAAATTGACTTAAAGATTTAGCCTCTCTCATATCACAGGGCAGAATGTTCCAGAGAACTGTTCTGCTATAACTGAAGCTGTTCTTCATGAAGTAATAGTTTGCTGGAACGGGACAATTACTTTGTTAACAGAGTCCCTTAGGGAGTAGCGCGTTTCATATCGTTTAACAAATTTAAAGGATAAGTATCCTGGAACAAGATCACTTAAAGAATTGTAAACCATTAGGGCTTTTTGCATTTGGAACTGAGTGCTCAAGTCTTTCCAATTTAGTTGTCTAAGGAAGCGGTTGGCATCAGCATCATATCTAGAAAAGGTTAGAACACGAGCAGCACGGTTCTGAAGCTTCTGTGGCCTGTCAAACAAAGGTTTTCCACAATTAACCCAGACAATATTACAATAATCGAATTGAGATTGAATGAGAGCGTTGTATATACCATGTAGAGTAGGCGTTGGAACAAAATGTCTAATTCTCCAATTTTTGTCTTGATCCAATTAGCATAAATTCAGTTTTAGCAGTGTTCAAGGTAAGTTTGTTGGAAATAAGTCATTTGATTAGATTACCTAAATCATGATTCAAATTTAACTGTATTGAATTCACATCAACATCTGCATAAGTGATGTGTGTGTCATTCTGAGCATACATCCTAGGCTGGCATGAAGTTAGGCAGTTTGGCAAATCGTTGATGTAAATAAGAAATAAAAGGGGACCAAGAATTGTTCCCTGAGGTACCCCACATTTAAGTGAACAGATTCTAGAAAGGGAACCATTAACGAGATATCGTTGTGTACGATTTGTCTAATACGATCTAAACCAATCGAGAGCAATTCCTTGTATTCCGTAAAGGTTCTTATTATATACATACTGAGAAATACTCACCAAAAAGCTATGTCGTAAATTTTCGTACGCAAATTAGTTCTAGCCAATCAGAGGAGCGAACAATGGTTTTCACACGTTAAAAAAACGATACGTCCAGTCAGAATCGCGAACGATGTTTTTTCACGTGTGAGAAAAATGATACGTCCAATCAGAAGCCACAGAGGTGTACGAGTTTCGCGCCAGAATTCCCGCCTTTTATTGCAGTTTGCAGCGCCGCTTCGCACAC